TGTGGACTCTGTGCCGGTCCGTTGTGGTGAAGAGAAGAATGCAGCGCCAGGCTGACAGACGGACCGGTGCAGCGTCTGCAGTGTTGTGGACTCTGTGCCGGTCCGTTGTGGTGAAGAGGGAGCAGAGCTGCAAGTCAAAGCTCTCCGTTTACCGGTCGGTCTACGTTCCTCCCTCACCTCATGAACTCTGGTAGAGACTGACAGAATGAGGTCGTGGATCCAGGAGGTTCAAGTGTTTCCTGTGCGGAGCAGCTGGACTCCCCCTCAGATAAAATTCACGTTTGTCTCCACTTTGAGTGTTTTTCACTAACCGAGTGTTTTTCCTCCTCAGGCTCCCGGCAGCTCTTCTCTCTGCTCAGCGTCACCTCCTACAGCTCTCTGGCTTTCCATAAACTCACCTTGTTGCTCTACAACAGTAAATATTTAATTAACAGTAAATATTTAATTAACAGGAGATATTTAATTAACAGGAGATATTTAATGATAAGTCTTGGCTCTATGGTGCAGAGCTGCTGCCCTCTGCTGGTGTGGACGAGCAGGAACCTCCTTTATTTTTTCTGATTTAAATAGTTTTATTTAATATTATTGACTCAGAAACATTAAAAACATGTTTTAGGACAGAAACAAGAGTCAACGTGCGCCGTAAATAAAAAGTATTAAAGGTTAGATGTTTTATGAAAGTTTAGATATTAAAACCTTTTTTAATATTTAAACTTTTAATTCCTCAAACCTGAAACGTTTTTGTTTTTTCAAGTTTCCGGCGTCCAAAGTTTTGAGCGCGGTGCGTTCAGGAGGCGCTTCTGCTACTGCGTCACCAACGACACCAACGACTGGGCCGGTAAGAAGAACTCCTCCTGACTCAGAATTGTTTGTTTGTTTGTGGTTTACAGCTTGTTGTTGTTTGTAAACAAAGACTTCACAGCTGTCCTCTTGGACGTGACGGGAAACTCCTCGAGTTCTCTACACGAGGTCTTCAAGTCGTCCTCCATCCTGTCAGGTGGGTGCAGCGTCTCGGTGTTGATGGTTCTGCTGGCGTAAACCCATCGGACCCAGTTAGTTACCTGACAGAAACCAGCTGAACCATGAAGGGTTCAGCTGGTTTCTGTCAGGTCTCACATCCTCGGTGAAGCACGGCGGAGGCAGCATCATGAGAGGTTCTTCAGGTAGACAGTTTCTGCTGCACCGAAGGTTCAGGACCCACCAGAACTCAGGTTTGGAAGATCCAGGACTCCTCCAGAAGCTGGTCCCCCTGGTGAGCGGTCTACAGACCGGTGTCCTCTCAGACGGTCCCTGCAGAGGTCCAGTGAGATGAGATGAAGGTCCAGAACCAGAACTGCAGGCCCGTCTGGGCGTCATGCCTGAAAACTGCTTCAAGACTGAAGAAGGTTCTCTGATGGAACCAAGATGGAACCCGTTGTCCTTAATCACAGGCGCTGGAGGACAGGGGGGGTGCAGAGGTTAGAGAAGGTGGGCCTGCAATCGGAAGGTTGCTGGTTCAACTCCTCAGACCGACAACATCAAAATGTGGGTGTGAAAGGTGAAGCACCTGCCTCCACCCTCATTTGCTCCACTCTGGGTCTTTAACCCCCACCCTCTGCTCCCCCGGGCGCCCCACATGGCAGCTCTCTGCTCCTCAGAGGCTGTGGCTCAGTGGTTGAGTCAGGAAGAACATCTGGCGGTCAGGTCTCGAGCTAGTTCTCCGTGGTGACCCTGAAGGAGCAGCTGAAAGAAGAAAATAAAAGCATGAAAGCAGTGAAGCACGGCGGTGGTCGCGTCATGATTTTGTTTTGCATCAGACTGAAAAGAGTAAACGAGATGTTTTCTGTCGTCAGTGAGTCAGAGGAACAACTCGGACTGCGTCTACATCTGCGTGATGGCAGGAAGGACGGGTGAGTGAACTCGTGTCGTCACCACATCACGCTTTGTTCGTTCAACCTTTATTTACACATTTATTTATTATTATTATTATTATTATTATTATTATTCCATTCATTTATTCATCTGCACAAACAGCTTTGTATCTGCAGGAAGCATCAGCACGAGGACACGTCGGTTCTACGGTTGATGCTTTGAAGAGAAAATAGTTAAAATGATCAAAGTTTACGAGTCAGATTTCAGCGACTCGTGTTTTAAACTTCGGGTTTTATTTCGGGTCGTTTTAATGTTTCCTCGTTAAAGCAGCGGTTCTGATCTTTTCACCTGGTTCGTGTTGTTTGTCCAGACGGAGCGGCTCCTGAGCTGTGGGGGGGCGGCTCCATCACGCCGCTCTTCAACCAGACGCTCATCGAAGGCTCAGGTTGGACCCGGTTCTGCAGAGTCACGGGTTTCTGAGCAGCAGAACCCAAACGTCCAGAGTTCCCACGAGCAGTTTGTTTTCCTGAAGAACTTCAGTTTCCACAACGTGCACGAGAGTCGCAGCTAAATTATTTTTATCAACACAGTTCAGCCTGTTGGACAAAACCCTTAATGTTCGGCTGCTGATCCAGCTAATGTTAGCATGCTAATAAAATCACTTGTTTTTAATTTGTAAACCTAAATGTTTTTAACGTAAACTTCAGTAAATTTGTACAAATTAAATTACAAACCCTCCATTTTAAACAGAATATCCATAAGAAGTGATCAAAGACCTTCTGTTAGCTAAGCTAGCACAAATGAGCCTTTAGCTGCGTTTACAGCAGATTAACGGGTGTTACAGCAGATTAGTAGATTATGAAATAGTTCAAAAAACATTCAATACAAAAACAACTGGACTTTATTTGTAACAGAAGACGTTTCGCTCCTCATCCGAGGAGCTTCCTCAATTCAAAGAGCAGAGAGTGAGAGATTCAGGTTATAAGGCCGAGTGAGATAAGACACACACACATATGCAGATTGACAATTCACACCTCAACACCTTAACAGTAGGGGTTTGTCAAAGTTGCATTACAGGTTTTTTCCACTTTCAAAAACATATAATGCAACTTTAAAACAGATTCCCAGCCAGTTCACACCTGATGAGAACAGAGGGGCCTCGTCTGTGAATTAGAGGAACAAAGACCTTAACAAACCCCCACTGTTAAGGTGTTGAGGTGTGAATTGTCAATCTGCATATGTATGTGTGTCTTACCTCACTCAGCCTTATAACCTGAATCTCTAACTCTCTGCTCTTTGAATTAAAAAAGCTCCTCGGATGAGGAGCGAAACGTCTTCTGTTACAAATAAAGTCCAGTTGTTTTTTGTATTGAACGTTTTTTGAATTCACCTCCTGCTGCCCTTTGACCCGAGGGCAGCAGGAGGTGAAACTTTGGCTCATGTGGGACGTGTTCCTTCAAAACGCTCACTTCTACATTTTATATATTTTATGACGATAAAAAATTTTTTTCATTTTGTTCGTCTTTTACTTTGACACTCGTGCTTCTCTGACCAACGTCCTTCTCGTCCCTCAGCGAACGTCTCGTCCATCAGACTTCCTGCTGGTGAGCGCGTGTACAACTTCACGTCCATGAGCCACTCGCAGCGTTCTCATCTCAGATTCTGTTCCATCCTCAGATTCTGTTCCATCCTCAGATTCTG